CCGAAGCCGGGACGAATCTCCCCCCGACGTAATCGAGAAGGAGATCCGGAGCCCGACTCGGAGTACCGGGACGAATCCTTTCCTCCCTCGTGCCTCGGGAGACGGTTCGGACCTGCCACGCCGTTCCCGCCTCCCCGCAGGGACGAAGTGAGCTTCCGGGGGCGGTGAGAAGTTCCGAAGTTGCGGACTCGACGAAACATCCCACGCAGTCCGTCCGCGTTTCGCCCCTGCCGCCGTCCTGTTGACTCTTGCAGTCCGAAGAGCGAGAATCCGACCGGTGCAGGATTCCGACGTCGTCGTCCCGATCTTCATCCTGTTCGCATCTTCTTTCCGCCGTAGGAATGAATCGCACGCACCGTCAAGCATGCGAGCCATCCCCCGAGAATGACGAGCTTCCGGAGACGAGTCGATCCCCCGCGAAAGGAGCCGGTACATCCCATGCAAGAAGATCTTCCCGCCGACCCTCCGCTCGCATCCCCGTTTTCCCGGAGCAGGATGATGAAACCCTGAAAGAAAAGTGCCGAGTCCCACACTCTCTTTTCCCCCGGAAGGTTGGTTAGGTACAGGTCTGACTCTTCGTCTGCGACCGAGGAAAAACGGCTGTCAGCTGCCGCGCATCGGGAACAAGTCCCTAAATACCCTGTCGACCGGCGAGAACGCTTGGACCGTTTATCTGAAAATGCGCAACAAGCCGGACCCGAATTACACGATCAGAGTCATCCACTGCACCCGGCCTCCAAGTAGCTGGATTACAGGAGAGTCATAGAAGAACCTTGCCCAATCCTGTGAAATTAATCCACACGCCGTGTAGGTCAGGCAATATCTCTACTAAATATGGTACCTTTCAAGTTCCTTGTTAAAGAAATTAAGGAACCCTTTCAGATCACATCCACACCCTCCCATGAGAGACGAGTTCTCGTGGTGAACGGTCATCGATGACTAAAGTCGATTCTTAAACAAGATCAATGATAGCCTGCCTCACGCTCAGGTGCAGATGTCCTGAAAAATGCATTTCGTGCTAATCTTCCCACCCGGTAGTCGGGAGAGTGTGGGACTAAAGTCGAGGACACTAAAACTCCTGGATGTGCTTCGCTGCGGTCTTTCCTGAAGGAAGTGGCGCTCGCAGTAGTATAAGCCGTATTTCAGCCTCAACACTCCCCAGAACCAGAATTATCATGTCCGCATCCTTGAGGGTAAGAAACGGTTTCCCCTCTGGTATAGCCGAAAGGGGGATCCACTCCACCCGGTTAGAATTCCTTCCTCCAGTCAGACATCTGGGGGTTATTCCCGAGTTTGTCTTCGGTTAAACCTCCCGCACTTATACACACACATTTACATATAAAAATACATACTCATAGAATGAAACTTTTCCGAATGACTTTTTCGGTCCAACTTCACTCTTTACATTGTTTACAACTCTCTAAAAATGATGAAGATGATGATGATGATGATGATGTTGTACTACGCTATATTTACATTGGTTTAATTTTAATAATGGATCACAAAAAACCACCACCCCTTCTCCTTGAAGGCCCCGTTTCGGAAGCAAAACGAGCTTGGCGCTTCCTTCCGTAGGCATGGGAGCGTCGACGTTTGCAAGCAGACGAAATATAGTACCGAAAGCCGTGCACTCATAACCTCGGTAGACTTTTTAAAGATCACGTTATGTCCGCTTCTTCACGGCCGCATCCAGGAGAGCCCGGATTTTACCCGCTGAAACCCTCACACAGTCCTCTTCCCAGCCCAGATCTGCCGGCGCAACGACAAGCGTTGACAAGCAACTCCCCGTGTATTCCAGCCCACAATGGCTCCGACAAACCCCGCACCTTGTTCATTACGAGACGAAACGAAAGACCCAATGGATCCGAGTCCTCCTCCTTCTTAGAGCCTCATCCAACACACTCGTTTCGGAAGTCCCCATGTTGTTCGGCGTATTCGGGCCCCCGCAGCCCGCCATTCCGCGAGCAAAGTTTTTTTTTTTTTTGTCAAAGGATAGAAAAAAAAATGATCAATAAAAAAATTTTTTTTTTTTTTTATACAAATACAAATATTTTTATTATTGTTATTATTTAAAATACAAATAATTAATTAATATACAACAATTTTTATTTAAATATATATGTATATAAAACAGCGTTGAAAACTTTTTCATTCTTTTTTTCTTTTGTTTCATTTAAATAAAAAAATAATTAAAACATACAAAAAAAAAAAAAATTTTTTTTCTTTTTTTTTTTTACTTTTTTAAATAAATAAAATTATATATGACGAAAATGTGTTTATTTTATCAAAAAACCATCCACCCACACGCACACGCACACCCGATCGAATGTTTTCTCTCATTTAGAATTCTAACGCGTTCGTGTGCGTGCGCGCTATATAAATTTCCCATCATTTTCGAAAATCTTTTCAAAAGATTCCTTCCTTCCGTAACCGCTAAGAGAAACGATGAAAAATCAAAACAAAAAAAAAAAAAAAAACACGTTTTCCGAAAAATCTTATTTAAAAAAAAAAATGATGATAATAATAATAATAAAAATAAAATAAACCGGAAACGTCATAGAATTCGACGACGTCATCATCATCATAAAAAAATTCCCTTCCGCTTACTGAACAAGAGTAAAAATAAAAAAATTTGTAAATTCGAAATAAAATAAAATAAAATAAATTTAAAAAAAAAAAATTCAACAGACGTTTCAATAATAATAATAATAATAATAATAATAATAATAATAATAAATATAAATACTTGTTAATCGATAGATCGATCGATCAATCGATCAAATGTCAATCGAGTTATAAAAACAACATGAAAACGTGAAGTGATCAATTCTTTTTAACTTCTTCCTCTTTCTCCCTCCCTCCCTCTCTCTCTTCCTACCTCCCTACTTCGCGCTTTTCCGAATTAAGGCCGAGTAATTAATATGATAATAATAATAATAAATTCACGCCGCGTAATTACAAAAAAAAAAAGAAAATGATCGTTCATCATGACGCTCAGCATTTAAAAAATCTATAAAATGTACAAACTCAAATCTATTTACAATAAATTTAAAAGATTCAAAATCATCATCAACCAACTTTTGTCGTGGAACGAGAGAGAGAAAAAAGAACACGATGTGCACGTGGTAGTAGAAAAAAACTCCTTAGAATTAATTACCGAACTTCGATTTACTTCAAAGTTTTTTTTCTGGTATCGCGAGCGAACGAGCGAACGAGCGCGAGCACGCACGCATGCACACACACGTCGAAAAAAAATAAAAGGAAATGACGTCACCGGAAGTCCTCGATATTATTTCCCCCTGTCTCCCTCGAAAAAAAAAAAAACAGCTATATAATTTCCTCCTATCCTATCGCTCTTTCTTTCCACCTTCTTCCCCACCGACCGTAAATTAGAAAAAATAAAAAATAAAAAAATGAGATGAATGAATAAATGAATGAGTGAATAAATGAATTGAATGAATGAATGATTGAATGAATGAGTGAATGAATGAATGAATCAAGTTAAATTAACTTTGATGAAACGTATATATATAAACACGACTCATAAATATACATATATAAACTTACATACACGGTTTACAATATATAAAATCTAAATAATAATGATAATAAAAATAATAGTAATAATAATAATAATAATAATAATAATAATAATAATAATAATAATAATAATAATAATAATAATAATAATAATAAAACATTTAAAATAATATACAAAAAAAATTTTTTTTTTTATTCTTTTGGACACGTGGAAAAAACGGCAAACGACGTACGTAGTACGGAAAGAGAGATGGGATGGGATTGGACGAGGGTAGGGGGGGAAGAGAGGAGGAGGTGGAAGGCGAAAGGTGAGAAGGAGAACCCGAAAGAACAGAAAAGAAAAAAAAAGACGAATCGTAAACGGATTTTCCAGGCAGAGAAAGAAGAGAGGGAGAGTCAGCAAAAAAAATGAGGTAGAAATAAAAAAATTTTGGCGGGAAATTTAATTTTCTCTTTCTCTCTCTCTCTCTCTCGCTCTCCCCCTCCTCTGATCTACTTCTTTTCTTCTTATTCTTCTCCTTTTTCTTTTTCGCATTCAAAATAATACGAAGCGTTGTTGTTGTTGTTGTTAAAACACACCTGAGTTCTATTATTATTATTATCATCATCTTTTTTTTTTCTCGTTCGTCACCGCGAATAAAAATACACTGTTTAAAAATTACACGATCATAATAATAATAATAATGATGATTATTGTTATTACGAATTCAATTTCAATTTTTTTTTTTTCCAGTGGTGGCAACCGTTCAAAATTTAAAAAAAAAAAAAAAATTAACAAAATTAATTTTAAAATAATTATTGCCATAATAAACATAGTAGTAGTAATTTCCGTTTCTCTTTTTTTTTTTTTTTTTTTTTTTTTTTTTTTTTTTTTTTTTTTTTGGTTTTCTCTCCTGCGTTTTTTTTTCTTTTTTTTTCTGTCTTAATAAACATTATAAAAAAAAAAAACTGCACGTTTACGCACATTCATACTTACAACATAATAATAATAATAATAATAATAATGATAATAATAATAATTAATGTTTATGCGTACGCGTTCAGCTTTCTTTCTTTCCTTCCTTAAAAAAAAAACAAAAAAATTTTCTCTTCGTCTTAAATAAAAAAAAAAAAAAAAAAATATTTATATATGTATAAATATATATATATTCTCACAACTACAAAATTAAAAAAAAAACTCTCCCGTAAATAATAATAATAATAATAATGATAATCGCGGTAGCGGTAGCGGTAGCTATACCACTAGTAATAATAATATTAAAATATAAAATCAAAAAAAAAAAAAAAAAACGCATCGACCAAAAAAAAAAAAAAAAATATTAAAAAAGTTAAAAAAAAAAAAATGCGTGCGCGCGACCACGTGTGCACATATATATACATACACGTGTATTTAAAAAAAAACGCGCACGCATATAGAACGAGACCGAACGTTTTTTTTTCCCATGGAGGAGGGCCGGTGATTACACATTGAAGGATCGGGGTTTGAGTGCACTAAGATTCAATAACACACGTGCCTGTTCAGTAAGCTCAAGTTGATCTTCAGTTTTACCACAAGCCACCATCTCCCACCTTACATCCAACTGTAAAGAATACAGGTAACCAACTTTACTACTACGGCACACGGAAGTCACTCCTTCAGTTTTATACACCGTAAATAAATAATAAAAAAACTCGCATCGCCATATTTTTTTTTTGATATCGAACGACGCGGAAAATTTTTTGAAAAAAAAAAAACAAAACAATAATTAATAATAATAATAATAATAAAATTTTCACACACGTGAACAACAACTTTTTTTTTGTGAATTTTGTGAAACTACACAAAACATTTCAAAAAGTAAAAAAAAAAAAAAACGGTGAATAAAACTGAACAAGTTACTTATCAAACTAAAACAAAAAAAATTAAAAAAAAAAAAAAAAAAAACTACAATTTAAAAATAAAAAAATAATAAAAACACTCGTTGTATACTTAGCCTTCAATAATAATATTAATAATAATGATAATGATAATAATGATAATAATAATAATAATAATAATAATAATCGTTCGACCCCCCGATCACGATTGAAAAAATCGAATAAGGCAAAAAATTTTAAAAAAAAAATCAAATTATTAAAAATATTATTATTATTATTATTATTATTATTATTATTATTACTAAACCAACCGCGAACTATTCTCTATCTCTCTCTCTCTTTTTATTTCCCTCTCTTTTTAATTTTTTTTATATATAATTACTTTTTTAACGCTATGGAAAAACAATTAAAAATAAAAATTGAAAAAATTTTGTCGAGTAATCGAAATCGACGGCGTTCGAATCGAACGAACGACTTTTAACCGCTACAACGATAATAAAAATAATAATAATGATAATAATATTAATAATAATAATAATAATACTTAATAACAATGTTAAAAACCCGAATTGAATTTTCCGTTTGAAAATTCCAAAATGTTACCAACCCCCCGCCTGTCGCCGTTTCCCTGAACTCTAAAATTTTTTTCCCCGCCCCAAAAAAAAAAAAGAATTAAAAATTAAAAACGATCGAAATTAATCTACTGCCACGACGGTAAATAACCGTTTGTCTTAAATTAACGATTAAAAAAAAGTATTCCTGGTTTGTTTTGTTACTGTTAAAATTAACACAACGCCAAACCTTTTGTTACTAACACGTTAGGGTAACAAATAAGACAAAAAAAAAGAGAAAAATTGTCACCGCATTCGTTTGTTTGTAGTTGTTCGAAATGCGTTTGTTAATGACACATCAACACACACACACACACACATACAACATAAAATGTTTATAATACGAACATGAAACAAAGTTAAAATAAATAAAAAAAAAAAAAAAAACATAAAAATTTTCCAGGGAAAGAATTAAAACATGTGAAAAAGGCGAGGAGAGGGGGGATTAATTTTTTTTTTTTTTTTTTTTTTTCGTTTGTTTTGGCGGGTGAGGAAATAAAAAAAAAAAAAAAGGTTGGGGTTGTTTGTTGTTTGTTGTTGTTGTTGCGTGTGACACAACGTGGAAAAAGCAAAACACCAATATTACTCTTACCTTGGGACAATCTTCGTCTTCTTCGCTACCAGAAACATCTCCGGCGAAAAGAATTCGTTTCCGTACGCCACTCTGAGAAAACAATCAAACTACAGAAACCATTCCGAAAAAAAAAAATCACTGGAAAATTTATATATATAGGCTAACACAAAGCTTAATTTTCCCAAACCTTTTTTTCTTTTTTTTTTTTTTTTTTGTACCCGTCACCCCCAAAATTAAAAAAAAAAAAAAAAAATACCCCACTCTCAAAAAAAAGAAAAAAACAAACTTAATACTTAAAACTTAAAACTACATCTTTTTTTTTTTCAAGCTGTGTTTTTTCACCGCCTTCTCGAATGATAATAATGATAATAATAAAAAAAAAAAAAAAAGCACACAAAAAAAAACCAAATAATTAAAATTTTGATACTTTTAGTTTTACCCTTTCCGCCATTTTTTTTCTGGCCTTTTTATAAACAATCACCACAAAACTAAAAGTAACAAAATGAACGTCAACTAACGTGAAAGTAAAAAAATATAAAAATAAATAAAAAACGTGAAGATCAATTTAAGTTTTGGGAAATAATTTAAATCTCAACGAAACTTCTCCCCCTCCCCCTCACTTCCTCCTTCATCCCTCCCTCCATTCATTACTACGTTAAAAACATTTTCATAAAAATTCCAATTAAAATAATAATAATAATAATAATAATAAAGTCACCACCACATTTAATTTATTATTTACCTCGCCTAAAAAGCAAATGATTAAAGCAATTACAGTCAGCCCCCTTCAATATCTATATATAACATCCCCCATATAAAAAAAAAAAAATTTTTTTTTTTTTTTAAAACCGGTATAAGCTATTCTCAACCCCTAATTGTAATAATAATAATAATAATAATAATATTCGCAATACACATATATATATGATTATTCACAGCTTGAATAAATATTATTTATAACATAAATATATATATATATATATATATATATATATATTTTTATACACAAATTTATTTATTTATATATATATACACTTAGGTAACACAATCCCCTGACACCCAGGCATCAGGCATTCAATATTTATGTTTCGCACGCACTTATGTACCTACATAAATGTGCCTTTTTGTGTGCCATGTTAATTTATTGTACATAAATACGCACGCATAAATAATTGTATAAGTATAATAATAATAATAATTAATAAAAACAGTTAGACATTTATATATATATATAACGGTTATAAAATCTTTACCGCCGTTACACGTTTCTCCCTTTCCCTCCCCCTTTTTTTATTCGAGGAGGACTACGTGACAAAAAAAAAAGGGCGTAGGGGGTAAAGATTTTATAAAGAGATAAAAAAAAAAAAAAAAAAAAAAAAAAATGGTTACTGATTGTGTTACATTTTATTTCTATTAAACCATACCTTAGCCGAATGAGTGTGAAGAGCGTCGTCGCTTATGAAATTCGCACCTAATTCATCGTGAAGAGTGTCACGAACGATGGAAGGCGGTGAAAAGAGTATTGAGGTTTCGCTTCCGATTAATGATTTGCTCTGTATTTATTTCGAGAAAAGAAAAAAAAAATAATAAAAGAAATTTAATAACGACGTAAAAAATATAAGAGGTGAGAAAGAAAAAAAAAAAAAAAGATGGAAAATGAGAGAGAGAGAGAGAGAGAGAGAGAGAGAGAAGATAAAAATCAACCTCCTACCTTTTTGCACAAACACATTTCTAACATTACTTAAATTTAATTAGTACCTCCTAGACACTTATTAAAATTTTTTTTGCAATCGAAATCATGGAAAAGTTAACGGTAATTAATTTTTAGACACTTCGAGTAAGGTAAGCAAGTACTAGTGAATTGGATGAGTCAACATTTTGAACTCACCGTAAAATTTTTCAGGGAAAAAAAACAGCTCTAACAAAAGGGGTCGGGGTCGGGGACGGGGACGGGGACGCTAAGGGACGGGTATCATGGTAAAAAGCTAAAAAGACAAAAAATTAATAGCCCTGAGAACAATTAATCCGATTTCATTCAAATTCTACTCGTTGATGCAATTTAATAATGATAATAATACTCTATACTCACGGGGGTTTCTGAAAAAAAAGGTTCTTCCGTGACCCCTGGACCCGATATCGCGCTCCAAGCCGCCACTAAAGATTTCCTAGCTTTTTTATGAGGTAGTGCATTTTCTTTTCCGACCGCCGTACCGGGTTTTCTTTTCGACGAGTACCCACTATCCGAAACCACACTCTGAAATAATAGAAGAAAAAAAAAAAAAAAAAAAAAAAAAGGGGGGTAGGTTTAAATGAGTTCCATTGAAAATTATTATTCTACTGCATCTACTCCACTCGTAAAAAAAAAAAACCAAAAGAAAAAAAAAAAAAAAAAAAAATTTGCTCGCATTCAAATAAAAAACCAAATAACTATTCTGTGCACATTTTGCTTGATTTTATTATTATTATTATTATTATTATTATTATTATTATTATTATTTTTAAAAGCCACAAAACACCGATACATTACAACATTTAAACATTTACCTGACTACTTGAATGCGTGATGTAAGAAGTGTCAGTTTCATATTGAGAATCAGAAGGATCTTGTTCCTTCTTTATTATTTCTGTTATATCTTCAACTAGTCTAGTTGGTGTCTGTGGCTGTAATCACAACCATTATTACCATTATTACCCTACTTAATTCCTTTAAATATTCATCGATTATTTCACCGGGGGACAGGTGACGACCAACCGATGTTCAAAATAAATAAACCGTCTTACCGTAAATTTGGCTAATCCACTTTGCTTTTCAAATTCCGCCAATGCGTTTTTAAATGGCGTCGGAGTTTTCGGCGTCAAAGACCGTCTATTTTTTGTAGGCGTCGTGTGATCGTTTTCCCTTTGAAGCGGCATAGGATTCGGCGTCGTCAAAGGACTACTACTTCTCTCATCGTCGTGAACGGGAGTCGATTGAAGGTTAAGAGCAGTTCTTCGAACAGACGTAGAATCGAACGATAACGAAGGACTGTTAAGAAACTATTTCCCCCCCAAAAAAAAAAAAAAAAAAATTATTATTTTTGTAAAATTTACTCTTCGAATCATTTGTTAAAACGTTTAAAAGTAAATAAGCGTGTTCTGTACCTGTGACGGACTAAAAGGTAACTGTTTGATCGGTGTTCCTTTCATCGGAGTTGTGACCACTCCTGCAGTAATGAATTCTTCTTCACAGTTTTCTTGTTTGACTCTCGCACCGAAAATTTGTTCGCCTTTTACATTGAATGGAAGTTCGCTGAGTTCTACGGGTCGCCTGTCCGGAGTCATGAGTGGGACATGAACAATTTTCTTTTCCGGAGTCATCACGGGAACGTGCCATATTTTTTTCATCGGCGTGGTATTGCTATTAGAACGAGTAGGTATCGCATTATCAATATCTTGAAAACCTTCATCACAATTTGGCAATATTTTCACCGGTGTTGTCGGATTAGATAGTAGTTCCAAATCGAGGTAACTACGATAAAATGAAACCAAATTCTTTGTGTGCTCTACCTTTTCTTTCCTTTTTTTTTTTTTTTAACCTTCTTTAAACTCTTTAACGTAGTGAGAAAAATTTTCTTCTGCTTAATTAATGTTAACGTATTTTCTTTTTAACCGGCGTTATTATTATTATTATTTTAAATCATTGACAACGTTTTATTAATTTTCGACAAAAAAAAAAAAAAACAACAAACAAGTACTTACCTTAAAGGTGAAACAACCGTTTGTCCACTTTTCGTCGGAGTTCCCAAACGGCAATCGTTTTGTCCATTTAACGGAGGCGTTTGCGGCACCATTTGAACGGATTGACTATTATTTAATGAAGGCCAATTGCTCTGCGTTAAATATATATATATATAAATTTCGTTATGAAATTTTCGACGCATTCGACGAAAATTTATTTAAAAAATTGTTTGAAAATCTCGATAAGAGAATTTTGTAACAATACCTTTAATACGGACATGTGGGGAGAATATTCAATTATTTTTCTTCCTTGTCCACCCTCAGATCTATTTCTCTCCTTAATTTTAACTTCGTTTCTAAAAACTTTCATTTTCCTGCTCCTCCTCGAATCCGCGTTCCTGTCTCTCACGTCTTCGTATTTTCGCCTCATTGTCGAATTCCAATGGTTTTTTATTGCATTGTCCGTTCTGTAAACGACAACAAACCCAAATAACAATTTTTCTCAATGTTGAGAGTTATGCGTCGATTTAAATCGTCTGCAATCTTACCGCCCGGGAAGAAGTTTGGCTATTTTCGCCCACTGATTTCCCCAAGATTGATGAGCCTGATAAATTAACCTATCCTCTTCTTCCGTCCAAGCCGTTTTTTTAATTTTCGGATTCAAATGATTGTGCCATCTTTCCCTACACTGTTTCCCTATTCTTCCTTTCAATTGTCTCGCTATTAAAGTCCATTTTTTCGGACCGTATTTTCGCACCAATTCCACAACTTTTTCATCCTCCTAAAAAAAAAAAAAAAAAAATTCCACGCATTGTGAAATTTTAAACGTAATTTGATTTAAATAAAAAGAATTCATTGCTATTGAACTCTTCCCGTAACAAATAAAAACAAAACCTAGGTACGATCAAATAACGAATCTCAAGGTTGTTACATGTTTTTATTTTAAAAAAAAAAAACTCCAAGCTCGGGTCACGACTTTTAACCGACCAAATCGTTACGATATTATTCTGGTACTCTTATGACCTTTGGCAGTAAAAAAAAAAAATTCGTAAGACAAAATTCGTACCTCTTTAGTCCATGGTCCCTTGACTAGCTCCGGATTGACAACCTTTTGCCACCTTTGCTGGCATTGCATATTTGATCTGTCGGCAAAATGTTGAGATATCAAATCCCATCTTTCACTATACTCATCTACCAATTGTTTCAATTTCATATCCTGTTTAAAAAAAAAAAAAAAAAAATTTGGCAATGAGAAAAAGAAGACGATTCGATGATAATTATTCAATAGAGAAAGATTAGTAGTAATCATCGATGAATTAAATTCAAAGGAAGATTCTACCTGCGAGAAAAGGTAGGTACCTCCTTTTAAACAATTACTCCAGTTTTTTTTTTTTTTTTTTTTTTTTTTAAGTGAAACGGAAAAAATATTATTATTACAACTTTGTACATATTGAAATTTTTTTTTTTTTTTCTTGTACGGATAAATAAAAAAAAAACACAATTAAAATAATCTAGAAAAAAAAAAAAGGGCGGCACAACTTTTAATAACAAAAAAAAAAAAAAGAGGGTAATACAACCGGATATATCTTTTGCTCACGATATAAAACGAAGGGGAAATAGCACATCGAAGAATTCCCATACGCACTTTTTTTTTTTTTCAGTTCAAGGATTGCAGACATCCGATTCAATTTTAATTACATGCCAGGGGAACAAGAAATAAAAAAAAAAAAAAAAAAATGCCCAAATTTTTTTTTTTTTATTCTCATACGTGTAAAAAAAAAAAAAAAGTTGATATATCCCATAATCTGTTGTTGCTATGCCAGAGACGAAGGTTAAGATGAATGAAGATAAACAACAACAAAAAAGAAGAAGGAAGGGAAAAAAAAACTTTGGTCCAAAACGAAGTAAAAAAAGGCCAGAGTTGTAGTATGTTGTAGTTCATTACGCGAGGCGTGACCGTCTCCACAAAAAATTAATTATTTACCAACAACAACAACAACAAAAAATTTTTTTATTATTTTTTTTTGGCGGGAGACCTTGACTCGCGGGTTCATCAATAATTTACGTACGCATCCAGTTTTTTAAGACTTAAAAAATTGAATGAAAACTCTTGGCTTGCTTAACAACAACTTTTCTCATCAAGGTCAATGTCATACTTAAATTCCTTATTTTAACGGACAACTAAAAAAAATTTTTCCAACTTATTGTTTTGTTTTGTAATCGTTCTTTTCATTTATTTCTTATTGAAAATAATCACCTGCGAATAACTTTTGAGCTAATGGAAAAATCTAATTTTTTTTTTTGGTTGTTGTACAGGTGTAAATAAACACCTGCACGTTTAAGATACGCGTCCACATTTAAGGCACAAATAATCCTAAACGTAAGAAAAAAAAGAAAAACGTGAAAAAAGGAAGAAAAAAAAATTTCAACTCACTTCTTCCTTGCTCCATCTTCCTTTATTCAACGGTTTTTTCGTTTTTTGTAATCCTTGTCCAGGTTGTCCCACGTCGTCTATGACACCGCTGTTGGATTCATCTTCTGATATAACCGATATATCCTCGTCGGTTTCCGAATCGTAACCGGATTGGTGCCTTGTAAAAAAAAAAAAAAAAAAAAAATTAACAATTTATTTTTTTCACTTAAACATACAATGGCGCAAGCATTAAATCATTCGAAATGATAAAAAAAATAAAAAATTTTCTGGAATATTCGATGATTACCTAACAACCCCAGACATGATAAAAGAAAAAATTATGAATTAATACAATGATAAAATATGTGCCAAAAGACGTAATATGGCGACGACAACTTTAGGTTTGTGAATTAATTTTTGGCTTCAATACTTAATTTCCGTCTTTTCCTTTACTCTTCGTACACCTCTCTCTCTCTATCTATCTCTCTCTTTCCTTCGCACTCCATTGATTATTTTTCGATAAATGAAATTCCGTACAATAAACGACGCAACCTGGACACTTCCAGAATATAATTTTATTTTTTTGTTTTTTAAGATACAAATCATTCGACCGTGAGCTCATCGAAGGAAAAAGGAGGAAAAACATTCCATGACGAATTCAACTACTTGGCAACCGCTCACCTTTTTAATAATAATAATAATAATAATAATAATAATATTACAATCGTGCGATGATTCTATCAAAAAAAAATATTGTACGAAAAAAAAATCACCCTTTCGACAACTTCCGAAAAGGAAATCAAAACAACCCCTTAGAAAACGGTGCGAAATTCCAGGAAAAATAAAAAAAAAAAAATTAAAGGGGTTGTTGAAATTCGTTTAGTTTAATTTTAATTACGATGCCGGAAACGAAACCTTCGAGAAAAAAAAAATTTACGATTTCGGGTTAAAAGGAGAATAAATAAATTTACTCGAAACAGGATTACGTAATAATAATAATAATAATAATAAAAGGCAAAAAGACTACGACACGATCAAATTCCGTAAAATCATCTTTTTCCCCTTTGAATTAAAAAAAAAAAAATTTATTTATTTTATCCTCGATTAAAAAAATACAAGTTTGATTTCGTAACTATCGGGTTCTCTCTGGAATAAGATGGCCACCCTATTTCCCAGGAGGTCGGTAATCGGGGGTTGATATACACACATTTATACACATGTGTACGTAAGTGTAGGGATTCGAGTCGCCGGCCTTCCTTCCTTTCTTCCTTCCTACCTTCGTTCTTACATCAAAGAACAGAATAATAATAATAATAATAAACGAAGGGTGTTCATTACGTCATCTTTTTTTCTCTTTTACCCTCCGATAAATTATTCGTGATAATAATAAATACGTAGCAGCAGTCGAAAAAGGCAAAAATTAATTTTTTTTTTTTTTTACTCATGACAAAAATTTATTCCTACGTACATTTTTAATTAATAAAAAAAACTTTTGGTAAAAAGAAAATTGGAAAATTATTATTCGACGGATGAAAGATTTCAACTACCCCTCATGCTCTCATCCATCTAATTACCCCCTGAACCCATGTCACGATTGAAGAAACATTTTTTTAAATCGTGTTTACCGGAGCAAAACCAAAATTTTCTTATAACGAAAAGAAAGAAAATTCGTGCACGAGTTTGAATGAATTCTTCATTATTATTATTACTATTATTATTATTATTATGATCGACAACATGTGGTAGGCGTGATCGTCACGAGCCTTTATCAAACCATCATCTTCATACATAAGAAAGCATCGGCGCGTGCACGAATATACTACCATACATTAATCTGTACAACTTCCTCTGTCATTTTTTCAAAACATTCAAAAAAAAATTAAAAGAGGAAATCATCATCATCATCATCATCGTACGAGTCGAAGAACAATCAAATTATTATTATTATTATTTCGTTTAATTCTCTTCCTTTCCTTCGGGGGGAAAGGGAGGGAGTAGGATTCGGTCGAGAAAAATGAAAAGTTAAAATTTTAATTGTCGACCATCAATGATGGTTAGTGATGGCTTTGAAGGAAAGGAAAGGAAAGGAAAAATTATTATTATTATTATTATTATTATTAATATGGCTGCCTTTCGAGATCATTCGACCAAAAACGATTCACGTCGATTAACATAAATTCGACCGAATCGACCAACCCTTTTTTTTTTTTTTTACCTCTTTCAAGATGAACAAAATTAAGTGAGGTTAAATTACGAAGGTTACAAAACGTTTCTGCTGCTGCCCTTTTTTTAAATAATAAATCTCGTTCGTTTTTTGGAAATTTTTAAAAAGAAAATTTTGAAAGAAATAATAATAATAATAGTAATAATAATAATAATTTCAATGTTCTTCATTCTGTCCATTCAACTTTCAAGGCTTTCCTACCTATAATGTAATTTAATTCTGAAACTTGATTTTTTTTTTCAAGAATTTTCTTTTGTACCTGATTAAAAAAGGATTAAATTTAAACAATTTGAAAATTTAATAGATTTACTTAGAATTGCGATTTACCGCCCTCCCCCTCCCCCCAACCAAAAAGAAAAACAGCGAATTACTAAATCTGTTTTTTTTTTTTAAATAATCGCAATAATAAGACAAACAACCGAGATAACATTTTTCTCATTTATATTTGTTTGTTTTTCTGGTTGTCTCGAATAGCCAGCCAGTCATAAACTGTGAAAATTTTATTAGAATCTTTTTCTTTATTATTATTATTATTATTATTTAAAACGAGTCGGAAACGACATTTTATAAACCGGAAACCAAAACTTGAACAAATAAAAAGAAAAAGAAAAAAAAAAAATTCAATCTCGAAACGAACTTTGAAAATCATCAAAAGAGTCAATGACGAGAAAAATTCTTTTTTCTCTCTCTCTCGTTCTCATTCTCATTCTCTCTCTCTTTCTCTCCATCGGGATTTGTAATCAAATAAGTTTTTTAAACAATGACAGAAACAACAACAAAAAAAAAAAAAAAAAGCAAACAAACAAATAAATAACAATTCAAATAAAGGAAAAATCTTCGTTCGTTTCTTGAATTTCATTAAAAAAGTATACAATTTAAAACCAAATAATAATAATAATAATAATAATAATAATAATGACTTGACACCTCGGGGCATTTCATATTGACACGAAGGAAAACGAGAATTCAAAATCAAATTTAAATAATAAATAAATTCGCGTTCGATGTGGAAAAAATTTTCCACATAGGTTTTCCACACAGAGGCTGGACAAAAAATTTCTTTTTTTTTTTTTTTTTTTTTTTTTTTACAATCGAACATGGATTCTCTCCCGGTTTTGTCAACGATAGGCAGCTGCAAACTCTCTTATCTAATAACAACAAAAGCAGCCATTCTTCATTATGATGGTTAGTTTGTGGTGGCGGTCTTTAAACATTTATACACACAGTCAATCTATTAATAAAACGCGATTAATAATTGCCTTCCCTGCTTCCGTTTCGACAAAGACGAAACAATAATTTAATTCATTATCATTATTATTATTACAAATCGAAGAAAATGCAAGTGAAAATTTGGGAGAGAAAAAAAAAAACACCGAAAGATCCGACGAGAAGAGAATGTGATCATTCAACCGGTATTAAAAAATATAAAGCTGTATTATTTAAACACGCCAGAAGAGCATCTGCCACCAACTTCATTTTCCTGCCATCCGGGGCCCCTTTTTCCGATGACCGTAAAAAAGAGAGAGAGAGAGAGAGAGTGTGTGTTCATCATCGTTTCCTTTTTACGCTTTTTTTTAAAAATACATTTGCAGGATAAAAAAAATTATTATCATCATCATAAAATAAAAAAAAAAAAAAAAGGAAAATCACGAGATTCGATATAAGATTACTTACTGATCTCCCAGAGAATCGTATTCTGGATAAATATTTTGGGGAGAACAAAACCAGGGTAAACCCTGATGAGGAGGAGGCGGCGGCGGACGAGGAGGAGGAGGATTTTCACTTCCGCACGAAACGTAATTGAATCCGAATTGAGAAATAAAATTTCCAGTATTAACCGTTGGCGAATTCGTTATATCCTTTCCGAACGTTTGAAACCTTCCAAAATTTTCCATGATTCTTCCGCGGTGAAGAATCCAACCCCGAAATAATAAATAAATAAATAAATAAATGCGAACGATTTCGAAAAACGGGAAAACGAAAAAAAAAAAAAAAAAAATTTTCTTTTTTGAAAAAACCCAAATCGATTTAATTTAACGCGACGACATAATTATTATATTAAAACCTTCCCCCCGGGAAAACAAACAAACAAACAAACACAAAACAACACAAAGACAAACAAACGAAATCTTGGATTTTAATAACATGGTCACTACAACATGATTAAACAAATACCATTTCACTTTTTATCCATCATCATTATTACTACTACTACTACTTTTATTTTTTTGTTTCTTTCCCCCGCACGAATCTATCTCACTACTGAGAAAGAAAAGTTTCCTAGTCTTAGTTTCGCCTACTACTACTACCACCACCACTACTACTTTGCTCCAAAAAAAATAAAAAAAAAATTGTAATGACAATGGTGAGTAAATTATACGAATCAATTGAGCCTATGTTTAACCATTGAAGAGAGAGAAAAAATATCAACCCTGAAAAGGAAGAGGTATCGTTTTTACACACACACACAAGAGAGAGAGAGAGAGAGAGAGAGACGACGTTTCAATGCAGCTGCTCTTCGTTCGTATAAGGTTTTGCATTTTTTTTTTTTAGTACACATACACACATACGCACATCGGTTATTTATTCCCTTTTTATTTTTATTTAATAATAAAATATTTTCAAACCATTTAATGTAAATGATGACCATGTCTTATTATTATTATTATTATTTAATTTTTTTTTTATACTTTGATTGTTGAAAAAGGAAAAGAAAAAAAAAATCACTTCGTTTTTTTTTTTGCCTTCCTACTACTAAATGCATGAATAAACATTGAGAAACGTTTCGACGTCTCGTCACTTTCACAAATTAAAAAAGTGACATTAAAAAAAAAAAAATTCGTGGCACGAAATGAAAGCCGTTAAGTTAAAGTCGCGTTTTCGCGTAAAACCGTAAAGATAATAATAATAATAAAATTCTGAATTTAAAATTGATATAACGAGATGATGAACAGATAAGTTAGTTAGTTCAATATACACATACGAGTATACACGCATATGCGTGTGTATTCGTATACATGTGAAAAGTCTGCGATGAAAAGTTACTTCTAACAACACCCAATGGTCGAATTATATATATATATATGAAAATATACATTTTCCTATACTTCGATTACGTCCATTAATTTTAATAATATTCAGCCAGGTGTAAAAAAAAAAAAAAAAAAAGAAAAAAAGTGTACGACCCCAAGTTGTTTCCATCCATCCACCTAAAAATGGGGAACAAAAGAATGTGAAAACAGCTGACGTGTGAATAAGACAAACTTCCCATTGTTTTTTTTTTCTTTTTTTTTTTACTTTCTTTTTCTGGACTAAAACTAAAACTAAATTTATACGACGCATCCCATTTTTCGAAAAATAAATCTATTTTGAAAAATATAAAAATTCTGGAAAATTCCAAAATCGACCCCCCAAAAAAAAAAAAACAAGGCTTTGAGTTAATGCGTGCGACGAAAAAAGTCTTTTCTCTCTCTCTTTTACTGAATCAATCATCATCATCATCAGCAAATAAAAAACTTTTAAATTCAACTATTGCGTGTGTCTGAACAACTTTTCTTTTTTTTTGAAAACCTTGATCCCATTTACTAGAAAAAGACAAAAAACGGGGAAAGACAGGTCAGTGGAAGAAGACCGAATGCGGTCTCAATTAGGTGTAATCACGTCTAGATTTGTGAGAAAAAAAAGAAGAAAAGAAGCAGGAAGAAACGACAAACGTCATAAATAGAATAAATTTTCTCAAGGAAAGAGAGAACTGAGAACCCCTTTTGAAGAGAGAGAGAGAAAAAAAAAAAAAGAAACCACTCCCAGGACGAGACCAACACAACAGGGGTACAAGAAGAAGAAGAAGAACAGGTCTTCGGGATATTTACCTTTCATCCCCGTCCTTTTCACTTATACGTCAAAACCCCCTATTGAATTTTTTTTTCCTTCTTTTTTTATTCTTGCCTTTTTTTTTTTTTTTTACTACGTTTTATACTAATCATCCATTGTAATAAAAAAAAAAAAAAAAATTTCATAGAATAAATAAATAAATAAATAAAAAATTAAATAATCGTTATCACACAAGTGAAAGTTTAAATTTGTCATTTTTGTCTAAAAAAAAAATAAACGAGGTAATCAAATAAGTTCGTATCATTCATTATTTCAAAGTTTATATTTTTAGACTTGTTATAAGGTTAACAACACTACGTACACAAACAAACATTTTTTTTTCTTTTTTTTTTATATTTATTTTTAATTAACCAAAAAAAAAAATAAGCAAGGATGAGAAAAGAGATAAATAGAAACAAAGCCGCTTATTAATTTTACGCATTAGCCAACAATCCAAATGAGAAAATTACAAAAAAACTTTACAATGAAAAGTTCTATTATTATTATTATTATTATTATTATTTTTAAAACTATTAAATACGTACGAGTAAATTTGTAATAAGTAGAATAATTAAGAAGAAGAAAGATTCGTATTATGTCTTCAAAAAATAACGGATGATTAGTGAAAATTATTTTTAGAAATAATAAAAAAAAAAAATTAAAAAAAGGATGAATTGAATCATTTCAACGCCATTTCCTTTATCATCAATCTAATAAAAAAAAAAAAAATTATCTCGTCGAATTATTAAAAATTTATTTAAACTCGATTGTGTTAAACTTTAAAAAATAAATAAATATTCCAAACAATTTTTTTTCTCGTCGTTGGAGAAATAAAGTAAAATATCAATCAAAACCAGGACTTAATAAAAAATTTAACTTCCCCCCCCCTCTCTCCCCCTCCTTTTCCCAAAGAAAAAAAAGCCTAAAATCCATAGGGTAATAATTTAAAAGATTAATAACAAGAAGTTAAATAGCAAAAGAGTGCAAAAAAGAAAATCACCTTTCAAGTTCATTTTTACCTTTTTTTCCTTTTTTTTAATGTCAGTGTGACCCTTGACTTATGTCAAAATGTCAATTTTGACAAGTCAATGAAACATAAATGAATCACTTTTAAATAAGTCTAAATATGACAAAAAAATAAAAATAAAATAACAATTTTTTACTTATCGATCAGGTTGAAGAATAAAAAAAGAATGAAAAAAAAAAAAAAAAAGGAGGAAGTTTATAAATGTATGTGAGAATACTAATAATTCCTGTCAATCGAACAATAATAATAATAACAACAATACAATAAAGTAGTTTGAGTAAATTAAAAATTAATAATAAAATTGGTCAGTTGTTATTTTTTTTCTCACACACACACACAGTCTCTCTCTCTCTTTTTTTTTTCCCTCTCTCGATAAAAATAGCATTTGTCATAATTTTAAAATAAAAAGAAAATGCTGATAAAATAATTTTTAGAGACAGCATTCAAAAAGAAAAATAATAACTGTAAACAATAAAATTAAATAAAATTATAAACGATAAATTTTTTTTTTTTTTTAAATTGTAAGGCCTCGTAAACAAAGATCTCACCGATTAACAATCATAAAAATTTAAACTGATAAAAAGTATTTAAATATTAGCATTACAATTGATAACTGATCATTAATTGATCATAACAAATAAATAAAAAATGAAAAAAGGCCTAAAAATGATGTGGCATTAGGTTTAGTAGAAGAAAAAAAAATTTATGAAAATGTTATTCGATACAATTAATTAAAAGTAATTCTAATTTTTTTTTTTTTTCTAAAAACAATCATTTCGAATTGTAATAAATTATTAAAATTTATAAAAATTTATGAATGATATGGAAATGTCAAAAAAAAATTTGAGACTAAGTAAAATCAATATGATATCGATCAAGGCATCAAAAATAAGTTTAAAAATTAAACTTTACTCGAGTGTATAAATAATATTAAAAAATGTAAAATCGAAATGATTTGAATGATCAATTTTTTAAAAATAAATTCAAATTAAAAAAAATATTCAAAATGCATTCAAAATAAAATATAAATACAGAGTCACTAAACGTTGTATATGTACATATTTATGACCTTCCTTTTTAAGTATGAAATATTTTGAAAAAAATTAAAATGTAAAATAAGGTCAGACGATTTAATGACAGTTTTTTTTTTGTAAAGAATAACGACTGACTCTGTAAACCCAAGTAAATAAAATTCATAAATTATTTCAACGAATTGTTAATGTTTATAAACTTGATTAAGTTTTGATTAAGGAATTAATATGTATCGATAATAAAATTTTTTTTTAAAAAGCTTTTCTTAATAATTAAAATTAGAACTTTGAACATTAATATTAATAAAATGTTTGAAAGTTCAAAGTAATATTCATCAATTCATTTTAACTATCGATACATATCCGGCTTTAGGCACCTACGCAAACGCAATACACTGTTACCCGACAAACAAAGAATTCCAGATTTCTACTTACTTTTTTTTAAAACTCATCTTCCTAACATTTAAACACATAACACGTACGTTAAATTAAATAAATTTATGGCATTTCTGCACTTATAAAAAAGACAAAATATTCAAAATAAATAAAATATTTTATAAACAAGATTCCTTTTTTCCAACGACTGCAATACGAAATTTACATAATGGCGTCTGTTGACGAAGGAAACTTTTATTTTCATATTCACATCATTTCTGCTCATTAAATTACTTTATAATTTTTATGATATCACAATCAACGTCACTATTATAATAAAATTAAATAAAATTATTAATTTAGACTTGTTTTACATAAATAAATATAAACTTTAACCGAGAAATTGTTTTTTTTGTAAATAAAATCACAAGTAATTAATTGTTGTGAATTAATTCAAGTTAATTACTAAAGTACAAAAAAATTAAACTAGAGGTCAACACTGTGAAAACTAAAATTCGTTTTTGATAAAATTTTCGTTGCTTCAAATTAAACGTTTTTTTATTAATTTTATTACGATTCGACATTGAAACACTAATACTTGATATTAATACGAAAATATATTTGATTGAAAATCGCACCAGATTATTTTCGTCGATTGCCCTATAATAGTTGGGTAGATAACTAGATAAATATAAATCACGTGACCATTAAAATAATATTTTTATGTTATCCGATCTAAACTGTTATAAATGTTATACAGCAAATTAATTTTGCAACTGTTTTTAAAATATGAGTCAAAAGAATTATAAAAATGCAATAAATGTAAAAAAATTCTCAAAATTTAAAGAATAGATTTTCTCGAATTAATTTTACTTATAAAAATCGTTAAAATATGTTATCATTATAAAAAAAAATCAATCTACATAAACATTTGTGACACGTAGATGGTAAATAAAAAAAAAATTAAATTGAGAAGTTTACATTTGAGAAATATAATACTTTGATAAAGGATTAATTAATAATTAGCAATTATGTACGAATAAAATTATTATGATTGGTAATAATTTTACGAAAACGAGTTATGAAAAAAAAAAATTAAGTTTAAGTTGGCGACACTACTTGTTAAGCTTTACAAATTACCGGCCGATGTACCGGCTCTAACTTTGTTTTTGTAAAAATTACATGCCATCGATGTAATTTTATTCGTTAAATAATGGGTGAAAGTAGCCGAGGACATCGCTCGCATATTCAAGTTAAAAATTTACGTTGCAAATACCTTCATGAATATCTTCAAACGCTTCCATTAGCAACATTAGAACAGCTTTATAATCATCCCACTACTTGTTTAGCAGTTTTTAGGTTAGTTACTATAAAACTGCTATTTTAAAAAATTATTAACTAAATTTTAACTACTTAAACACAATTTATTATTAATAGTTTTTTAAATGTCACCTAATTGTTTGAGTAAATATTAGCTCGTATTTTTAATACTATTATGCACTTGATTTTTATGACTTTGCATTTTAACCAATTGAAAATGATTTTTTGACAGAGAATTACCTCAAATTGCAAGACACTATGTTAGTAGATTACTGTTTGTAGAACAGCCTGTACCTCAAGCAGTAATAGCATCATGGATATCTCAAACTCATTCTAAGTAAGATTTGAAGCTGAGTTTTTTTTTTATAAAGCTTCCGATAATATTTAAATTGTTAATTTGTAATTTTTCATACACAGAGAACATTTAACAGCGACAAAAGTTTTAACAGATTTGAGAGTTTGGCAAGAAGCTGCAATACCAGGAGGTCTACCAGGATGGATATTAAATTCTGTGTTTAAAAAAAATATGAAAATATCATTACTGGGAGGGTTAGATGATATTAATTTACTTTTTAACTCATAAAAATTAGTTTTCTTTCACTTATAATCAAATTTTATTCATTTATTTTATTTAGAGGTAGACCATGGACAATGTCAGCTCAATTAGAACCGGATACCAAACCCAGAGACATACCATATTTAGATAATTATGCAATGGAGAGGTGGGAATGCGTTTTACATTATATGGTTGGATCTCAAGCTCAAGAAGGTATTTCTGCTGATGCTGTTAGGATATTACTGCATGCAAATCTCATGAAAAGGTTTGTGTGTTATTTTGTAAAATTTAGCAGAAATTTTAATTTACTTTATTTATTTTAAATTTGACCAAAATAAAATATGAATTTGATTTTATGCAGAGACGAGGAAGATGGTTCTTGCGTAATAACAAGAGAAGGTTTTCAATTTTTACTCCTCGATACAGCTTCTCAAGTTTGGTACTTTATGCTTCAGTATTTAGATACTGTGAGTGCTAGAAATTTGGATTTAGTTGAATGCCTTACATTTTTATTTCAACTGAGTTTTAGTACATTAGGAAAAGATTATAGCACAATCGGAATGAGCGAGGGCCTTTTAGTTTTTTTACAACATTTAAGAGAATTCGGTTTGATTTATCAAAGGAAAAGAAGAGGAGGAAGATTTTATCCTACAAGATTAGCTCTCAACATTGCCTGCGGTGAAAATAAATCTTTACAACAGATGAATAAAGAAGGATATATAATTATAGAAACAAATTATAGGGTGTATGCTTACACTGATTCAAACCTTCAGGTTGCATTATTGGGTTTATTTTGTGAGATGCTTTATAGATTTCCTAATTTATCTGTCGGATTAATTACAAGAGATTCAGTTAGGCAAGCATTCAAAAGTGGAATAACTGCAGAACAAATCGTTGGGTTTTTAAGATTACATGCTCATCCTAGAATGATTGCTGTTGGACCTCCGACACTTCCTCCAACAGTCGTCGATCAAATCAAATTATGGGAAAATGAATTGAACAGATTGGTTTATTCAGATGGAGTTTTATATTCTCAATTCTTGTCTCAAGCTGATTTCGAAGCACTAAGAGATCGTGCCAACGAATTAGGAGTGTTGGTATGGGAAAATGATAAAAAGCGTACAATGGTTGTTACAAAATCTGGACACGACGATGTTAAAAAGTTTTGGAAAAGCTATTCAAAAGCAAACAGTTGATGTTTCAAAGCTTTTTAGACAATGAATTTTTTATGAAATCCAAGCACTGCCAATAAAAATATTTCATGGATGAATATTTTTTTTTTATAAAATATTTATAATACATATTAAATTTAGTATTAATTTCTTTTCTGAAAGAAAAAAAAGAAGCCTTACATGCTCCAAACGAATAATTAAATACCGTAGTAATCACTGTAATTAATATTTTTTTAATTTTGTAAATTTTTTTTTTTTTTTAAAAAAAATGTGATTCATCAAATTAGTTGAGTAAGTGTAGATTGTTTTAACTACGTCTGCAAAAAAAATCCGAATTATATTATTAAATTATTATTTATATGATTTTGATTAATGTAATTGATTGAAAAATGCATAAAAGACATTATTACGTAAGAAGAAAATAAATCGATTTCGTATCGTAAAAAAAAAAAATAAAAGCTCACGTTAACAAAAAAAATTCTATGTCGTAATATTATAATTAAAAAAAAAAAAAAATAAACATTGTAAAATAAATAAAAAATTTTAAAAAACACTTTAATAAAAAAAAACTAATTAAAAATATTAAATTATTTATTTAAACCCTATTTCTTAAAATTTATACCTAAAATGTAACAAACAACAACAACAACAACCAAAAAAAAATAAAAACGTTAAAATTAACCGTTAAAAAAAAATACCTGAAAAATTATTTTCAACGTGCTGCCATCTCTAGCGAAAATCACAAACTACTGCTTTTAAAATAGTTGAGAAAAATAACACGTGGCGGCGCCACTGACGAAACAAAAAAACATTTAAATTTTAAATACCCTATGAATCAATCGTTAGATTTTTACAATTATAAATAAAAAATAATTTTAAAAAATAAAAAAAAAATTATATTTACATACGTGAGAACACTTTGAAACCAAATCACCAACTAAATTATAAATTTAATAATCATAATAAATTAATGTAATTTTACATTCACCGTCCATCGACCTTTTATAATAAAAAAAAAATAAAATAGGAAAAAGTAATTTGAAAAAATGGGAAAAAGGACAAGACAACATCCGGTTTTAAATATCCGGTTTTAATTTCGTAAAGTTCGAAAAAGAGAACGAGAATAAACGTGAGATAAATAAAATAAGAAAAAGGTTTTATTTTGCCCGAAAGAAATAATCATTTATTGTTAAACCAAATTTTAATTAAAATCGAATTTTCAATATTATACAAAATTTCGAAAAAGAACAGGAAATAAAGTTTTTAATAATAATATTCATCGAGTGGAAGGAATATCCTACAGGATAACAATTAAATTTGATATAAATAGTTTTGTCTATTCAAATATGTCAAACGGTCAAGAAAATCGTTTAATAAAAAAAATAAAAAGGAAAATTTTTAACGAAATTATAAATTGGTGGAAAACCTCCATCGCAAACCGGATGTAAAATAATTAAAATGACGTAATAAAATCCAAATTAAATTAAATAAAAAATATTTTATATGAAAAAAAAAATTCATTCATTCAAAAATCCTTTAAATTTTTTTTTTTTTATAAATGACAATCGTTAGAAAGAAAATGTTTACTTTAACGAAAACCTAATTCGAGTAGTAAATAAATAAATAAATAAATACCTGAAACATGAAAACAAATTCAATACAATTCGTATTATTTCCAGTTTATGAATTTTTTTTTTTGCAACAAACAAACAATTTTATAAAAAAACATGAAAATGTTTGTAACATTCGTTTATAATCTTTCCTATGTAATCAAACTATAAATATTTTTGTGTGTGTGTGAAAAAAAACATTTGTAAATAAAACCGAAAAAAAAAAAAATTTTTTTTGTTGTTGTTCACGTTATTTATTTACGCAAAAAGAAAAAAAAAATTAAAACAATTTTTTAAAATTAAATTTAAACACCTGGTCAAATTAATTAGGTTAAAGGTCAACGATTAATAATTAAATTTAATAATTTTTTTACCCCATTCTGGAAAATTTTTACGGATGTAGTTCGATCGCTTCGATTTATTTTTTTTTCCGTTAAAATATATTCTAGATACACGTCAAAATAAAATTTTATCAAATAATAATTTTTAAATTAATGTTTTAAAAAAAAAAAAAATTAAAACAAGACGACGAAAAAACAAAACAAAATGTTTTTAAAAAATTAAAAAAATTTTTTTTTTTTAATTTTGCCCCTTCCCTGCTTTCCCCTCATTTCCTCCCCCTTTCCCCCCCCCCAAATTCATTCACGTGATTTTATTTTTACCTTAGTGGATGTTGAAAAAAAAAAAAAAAATTAAGTTTGCTCTATTAATTGTTCCGGGGAAAAAAGACGGAGAAAGAGAAAGAAAAATTTTTTTTTTTTTGAAAATAAAAAAGGTTTGATTAAATTTTTTGGTTAATGAAAATTTCCGCTTGGACCGCCATATTGAAAAACGAAAACCTTTTTACCCTTTTATTTAAATATAAAATTTTATCTATCGAATAAAGTATATATATATATATATAACGATCGATTGATTATTTATTTCCCAACACTTACTTTCTTTATTTGATAAATTTTATAAAAAAGAATTTAAAAAAAAAATTTTTTTTTTATTTCTTCCTCTTGTGTTTTCTCTCTTCCTCTCTCTCCCCACTTAAAACGATTCCCCTCCCCGAAAAAAAAATAATTAAAAAACATGATTAGTAGTAGTGGTAGTGGTAGTAGTTGTTGTAGTTTGTAGAGTCACGAGTCATTGGATTTTAAACATGAGAATTTTTTTTTATTTCCTGAGCCGCTTTCCTATGAGATCCTTCATTAAAAGGTGAATGATGGTCTGTCAACGTTATAATCTGCATTTGCGACCGTCCGTCTCCGGAACGGAATATGGCTCAATTTCAAACGAAAAATTTTCTTATTATTATTATTATTATCTCTCTCTCTTTCTCTCTCTCAACGAGATGGTTGTTTGTAAACATCTCTAATTTATACGTCAAATAAATTTTTTTTTTAAAAAAAAAAAAGATATTTAAATTTTGAAACGAATTCAAATTGATTTTTTTTTTTTTTTAAACAAAAGAAAAGAATGAAAAATGGCAACAAAAAAAAAATTAAATCGTGAAAAGTTTACCTTTTTTCTATTAAAAAAAAATTTATACCAATAGAAAATGATGACGTAATGTCTTTTCACCACCACCACCACCATCATCATCATCATTCTCAAAGACGTTTTTTAAAAAAAAATTTTAAGAAAGGGAAGTAGTAAAAGGGTGTTGACGCATTTTTTTAAAAAGGGAGATTCGTAATTTTTTTTTTTTTTATTCCTTCTTTCTGATTCCACGACATTCTCCAGTCATATTCATTTATTTTTTATTTTAATTTATTCACCGTTTTTATTTTTTTTATTATAATTGTACCCAATATTATTTTACCTTTTTAAAAAGAGAGGGGGAGCGCGATGCAAACTTTATTTTTTTAAATCGTACGCCATCTTTTTTTTTTTTAAATAAATATATAAATAAGTAATAATCTTTACCTTTAAGCAATTCGATAAATACAACAAAAGGAAAAAAAAATTTTTACGAATATAAACTTTAAAAAAAAAGGTTTATTTCCTTGAAACCTTAAAAAAAAAGAAATTTTTTACACAGATTTAATTTTTTTTTTAACCCTTTTTCATTCTAATACAATTATATGAGTATATATAAACAGGTGTTATTTGAAAACATAAGAAGAAAACTTTTTTTTTTTTTTTTTTTTTTCTTAAAAAATAATGTTTCATAACGGAAATAGATATTAAATGGCTTCTGTTGTAACTTTAAAAAAAAAAAAAAATTACGTAAAAAACCCCCCATCCCCCCCCCAAAAAAAAAAACATTTTTCTTTTTTTTTTTCTTAATAATAATAAAAAAATATTTTTCTACCGAGGGTTTTTAAAAAAAATTTAAATAATTTCCTTTAATAATTTAATATTATTATTAATATTATTATTATTATTATTATTATTATTATTATTATTATTATTATTATTATTATTATTATTATTATTATTATCATCATCATCATCATCGTCATCATCATCGTGGTCACTCCCAAACACGACAAGGCACTCATTTATCGGGGTTTTTAAGAATTTATTCCAGGTTTCAACCCGACGATTCCTTAGGGACAAATGCTCGAATTTTGTTGGCGTTATTTATTATTATTATTTATTATTTATTATTATTATTACTATTATCATTATTATTATTATTTACGTTCGTCCTTTTAAAAAATTTATTTTTTTTTTAACGACATAAATTTATTTAATATGATTTACGATCGCGACAGAAAAAAAAAATGTGTGAGTGTAGGAAAGAAGAGAAACGAGGGAAAACATTACTCCCCAACCACTCCCCCTCCTTTTTTTCGAGTGACAAATTAATTATTATTATTGTATTTTAAAATCCCGATCGATTCCTTCCCTATTCCTCCTCCTTTCCCCTCCCTCCCTCCCTCCGTCTTTCGAAAAAAAAATCCAAGAAATAAATTTATTAGCACTCGTGTATTACACACACACTTCTTAAAGTACTTGTTTAATCATTATTATTATTATCATCATCACAATATAAAGAAATTAGTATGAAAATAACAAGGGTAATAGGGATAAATAAATAAATAATAATAATAATAATAAGAAGAAAAATTATCGAAGATTATTGAAAAAAATTCATCCCCTCTTTTCTATCTAAAAAAAATTTTACAATTAACACACAAGGCAGACAAGAGGCAAACAATTTTTTTTTTTTTTGTCTAATTCCACGTAGAAAATTTTTTTTTTTTTTTAAGTGGAACAAGGAGTATTTGAAATATGTGACATATATGTGTGTGTATTGATGAATGACGTCGTGAGGTTTTTTTTCAAGTGTTTTTTAAGTGTTGTTGTTGTTGTTGTTGCCCAGGAGGAGCGAACATTCTGGAAATTATTATATATATTGTAAAACGATTTCAAGATATTATATCGTGGCATTAGAATAGATGATCGATCACAGCGTGA